TTTAGTATAAACTGGTTCATTGCTCAAAACTAATACGATAATTTGTTTCACATGTTCGCGGGCCCGACTTTGTGATTGAATATCATTATTCTACTAGTTCAATCGTGCAGCACGTTTTTTTTCGTAAACAAGGCCACATGCTGAGTTTGTACCGATTAAATGGTGGTATAAACCTGAAATTCTGGAAAAACTAACCAGCGAACAGTCAGAGAGACGTAAATTTTCGCTATTTGTGTCTTGGGAATCTATATCATCTGACGAAATCTTCAATTTGATGGCGTTACGTGCAATACGATATATAGGTCGGGGAAGATGCCATAATCTTTTCCGGCATGATCTTTCAATACTAACGAAACAATAAATCTTAAAAATGATTCCGACGCTGTTTCTTCGTTTTCTAGGGAAAATTGAATGTAATGAAAGAAAACGACACTTCTCGGACAATACAGTAAGAAACGACTAAAGAATTATTCTTTTTTAGCGAATAATTCCCGAGACGAATTCGAGGACAAACAATTGTAGAATATAATTTCTTTCTGGCAGTCGATCGCCTGGTTACATGTCATTATTTACCGCCTAGGAGGGTTAGAGGATTTTTGTTATGTCAAAATAAAATTTACCTGATCCCCCTCTGAGGCCTGTAGTTTTCTAACGATCTGCCCCTCATTAGCAGTCTGCATATATTATATTCTCCGCTTTAGACTCTGAGGCAGAAGGATTCCCCTTGCAGTAATACCTGCACTGCATAGAATGAGGTGTTTTGACTTGACTTTGTTGCGATAGAAGTGAGGAAAAGCGCCGCAGATATAAAAATGTTAACTCCCATGTATCCAAACACTTTTGCGACATCTCCATCCTTTGGAAGTGTTTCGTCTCCAAAGGCACAGAAAAATCACATTACGGCTTCTCCGGTGCATACCACACTTCCAGCAAATAAATCAGCCAAAGGAATACAAGCGAGAAATACAGCAAAGGGTTTTCTGAAACAGCAAAAAGGGTTTTTGTGTAGCGCAATCAGAACTGAAAAGTTGGGAACTGATATCAAACCCGAAAACAGAATGAAAGCTATTCCAGTGCCAAGACAAAGAGATCTCTCGAATTCCCTATCCATGGGAAACAAACTTCTGCCTTCCCTCTCTAGATCTGCTACTGTAGTGAAGTGTTAGTAGTCACACAATTATCATGAAATAAGCTATTCCACTCGTTTTGTTTACCTTACACATGCGGCAAATGGTATTTCGTGGACTGGACTGGACTGGACTGGATTGGCCTAGTAAAACGCGGACTAGTAAAGCGCGGACTAGTAAAACGAGGACTAGTAAAACGCAGACTAGTAAAACGCGGACTAGTAAACCGCGGAGTAGTAAAACGCGGACTAATAAAACGCGGACTAGTAAAACGCTGACTAGTAAAACGCGGACTAGTAAAACTCAGACTTAACAACAACAACATAAAAACAATTTCATACGAAGGCGATCACAAGACTTAATGGCGAGCCAATTTAGAGAGTGACAATCCCTATTTGACCTTTAAGC